CCCAGGACTCTCAGAAACCTCTTTTCCTTTCAAAAATAGAAGCTAATGTCAGTTTTCCGTATCTCTAAGGGAAAGGTTTAATTCAGAAAATGATGCTTACTTTTCCCTCGATTCCCTACACTCAATCACAGAAGAGCAGCTTGGGATTCAGCACCAATAGCTCAGCTGTGAAAAGGCGGAGTGACTCTCAGAGGCGTAGGTTCCACCTGTGGGAGCCCCCAAGCTTAGTCGGACCACCCACAGCGGGGCTCAGACTGCGCTGACTTTCCCAAGGGTGGGGGGCAGGTGTGTAAAAACCAGCAGGGAAGGGCCCGCCTCTATCCCCATCGGCCTCCATCCCCATCAGCCTCCATCCCCATCAGCCTCCACCCCATCAGCCTCCATCCCCATCGGCCTCCATCCCATCAGCCTCCATCCCCATCGGCCTCCATCCCATCAGCCTCCATCCCCATCGGCCTCCATCCCATCAGCCTCCATCCCCATCGGCCTCCATCCCATCAGCCTCCATCCCCATCGGCCTCCATCCCATCAGCCTCCATCCCCATCGGCCTCCATCCCATCAGCCTCCATCCCCATCGGCCTCCATCCCCATCGGCCTCCATCCCCATCGGCCTCCATCCCCATCGGCCTCCATCCCATCAGCCTCCATCCCCATCGGCCTCCATCCCATCAGCCTCCATCCCCATCGGCCTCCATCCCATCAGCCTCCATCCCCATCGGCCTCCATCCCATCAGCCTCCATCCCCATCGGCCTCCATCCCATCAGCCTCCATCCCCATCGGCCTCCATCCCATCAGCCTCCATCCCCATCGGCCTCCATCCCATCAGCCTCCATCCCCATCGGCCTCCATCCCATCAGCCTCCATCCCCATCGGCCTCCATCCCATCAGCCTCCATCCCCATCGGCCTCCATCCCATCAGCCTCCATCCCCATCGGCCTCCATCCCCATCAGCCTCCATCCCCATCAGCCTCCATCCCCATCAGCCTCCATCCCTATCGGCCTCCATCCCCTTCCAGTGGCACCTTTCCTTCAAACAGGACGTCATGGCTAAGAGTGGGCCTCGGGCCCTGACTGGTTTGGCTCAGTGGATAGAGCGTTGGCCTACGGACTGAAAGGTCCCAGGTTCGATTCCGGCCAAGGGCATGTACCTTGGTTGCGGGCACATCCCCAGTGGGAGGTGTGCAGGAGGCAGCTGATCCACCCCTATCGGCCTCCATCCCCATCGGCCTCCACCCCTATCGGCCTCCATCCCCATCGGCCTCCACCCCTATCGGCCTCCATCCCCATCGGCCTCCACCCCTATCGGCCTCCATCCCCATCGGCCTCCACCCCTATCGGCCTCCATCCCCATCGGCCTCCACCCCTATCGGCCTCCATCCCCATCGGCCTCCACCCCTATCGGCCTCCATCCCCATCGGCCTCCACCCCTATCGGCCTCCATCCCCATCGGCCTCCACCCCTATCGGCCTCCATCCCATCAGCCTCCATCCCCATCAGCCTCCATCCCCATCGGCCTCCATTTCCATCGGCCTCCATCCCATTGGCCTCCATCCCATCAGCCTCCATCCCCATCAGCCTCCATCCCTATCGGCCTCCATCCCCTTCCAGTGGCACCTTTCCTTCAAACAGGACGTCATGGCTAAGAGTGGGCCTCGGGCCCTGACTGGTTTGGCTCAGTGGATAGAGCGTTGGCCTACGGACTGAAAGGTCCCAGGTTCGATTCCGGCCAAGGGCATGTACCTTGGTTGCGGGCACATCCCCAGTGGGAGGTGTGCAGGAGGCAGCTGATCAATGTTTCTCTCTCATCGATGTTTCTAACTCTCTATCCCTCTCCCTTCCTCTCTGTAAAAAATCAATAAAATATATACTTTAAAAAAAAAAAAAGAGTGGGCCTCGGGGAAGCAGGTTCCATGCACCTGCTCTGCTGTCTGCTCATCACACACAGGAAGGTGTTGAACCCCCTGCCTCCTGGTTTCCTCCTCAGCGAATGGGGGCTGAGCCCCTGTTGGAACCTGCTGGTGGGCGTGAGTGAGACCCTCACCTTGGAGGCGTGGCCAGTGGCACTGCACATAGAAAACGCTCCTCCTAGTTCAGATCGGGCTCATGGAGCCCAGGTGGGCGCTTCTAACAGGGAAGGGAAGGTCGACATGGACATGGCGCAGGCGGGCCCAGGCGCTCCGACTGGCTGCTCTGGAGCTTCCTCCTGACCCGTGACGGTCCGCCATGGGAGGAGAGGGCACGAGCACCTTCGGGTGGCCGAGGAGGGGGGTGCACAGACCTCACGCCCGTGAGGAGTGGTTTCCCTCAGTCCAGACTCACCAGGAAGCCCTGGTGTTTTGCAGAAATAGCTGTTGTGCTTCACCGGTGTTGCCGCCAGTTTTCATTTATTGGACAGATACTCTGTGTCCGATGCAGCGAGAAGCATGTTACTCGTATTCACCCCATTGAATTCCCACCGGATTCAGCAAGACCGTGTTATTGCTGTGACTGCTTTAAAGGAGAAAAAGCCTGAAGCTTAGTGAGGCTCACGTCTCAAAAGTCACATCAGTCACTGAGGCCCCGGGATCCGGGTGCGGGCGTGTCTGGTCTCTGCGCCTGCCCTGTGAGCCCCTTGCTGTCACCCTAAGCCACAAAGACACCCACACGGAGGGCGGTGCGGCGCTGTTTGGGGAGAACGGTGAATCTGTGCACTTGTGGGGGAAAAGGTGGTAATTTGTCCCAAGTCACTGAGTGAGCGAGTGCCGGCCGCCGGCTCCCCAGCCCCTTGGTCTGCTGTCTGCGTGGAGCCGGGCAGGCGGTCCAGTCCTGACACCGGCGCTGTCCCCCGGACTCCTGCGTGCTGGGGGGACTTGCAAGGAGCAGCCTCCGGTCTTCTGAGGGTGAAACCAGCAGCGTGACCCACAGAACCCGTGACCAGGTTCTGCGTTGTGCACAGTGGCCGGCGAGGACACCCGTGCCGTTTAGAAAGCCCAGCAGCTTGGCAGCGTCGGAGGGAAGTCCCGTCACTCCCTTTCCGATGAGGAGCCTGAGTTGAGTTGGGGGTAGGCGGGTCGGGGAGCAGCAGCACCTGGCTTTGCAGGCAGACCTGCCTAGGGCAGCAGCTCTCTGTGGCAGGAGGAGGCAGGGGCAGTGCCCAGCAAGGAGGCGTGTGAAGGGGCGGGACTGACGCGAGGGTGGGAGAGCGCTGCTTGTTCCCAGGTCCTCCCAGCGCCCGTCCGGAGGAGCAGAAACGCCTCTAATGAGCGAGGTGGGACCAGACAGCCCAGACCCCGTGCTTCAGAGGCACCAGGAGGCGGCCGCTCTCTCCGGCCGCGGGCAGTCCGTGAAGACCTGTGGCCACAGGTGGGGCGTTCACCAGCAGGTGCCCGCAGTGTTCGCTTCCGCGTGGGCCTGGTGAGCAGGACACGGTGACGTCAGGGGACGATGACTGTGATCCCCTCCAGCATGCTGTCCTGTGCAGCTGCACCAGACAGACAAACTTTTGTCCGTCCCTTAAGAACTACAAACAGTGAGAAGGCATAAGCCAGCCCTGTGCTCCCGAGCGTGGCCCGTGGGAGGGCAGCGTGGGCCTCACCTGGGAGTTGGTCAGAAAGGCGGACGGCAGCAGAACGCGTGGGTTAGCGCGGTCCTGAGGCGACTGAAGGCGAGAGGCACTGAGCTGAGCATCACCATCGTCTTGGTGGGCGTTGGTGTCTCCCGGCCCCGGGCGGGTTTCTCGCGCTGCTCCGTGGAAAGGTGGCGGTAGTTCCCCGCACTCGCCCTCTGGTGCACGGGGTGTTAGGCAGCCAGTCCTCATGGGTTTGGGTGCGGGACCTGGATTCCCACTCAGCTGTTTCAGCCGGAGGACCTTCCATCTTTCCAGGACGACAGCCTTCTGTTAGATGTGGTCACACGAGGCCCGAATACAGGCCTCACTTCACTGCGCTTCACAGATGTTGCATTTTTTTACAAATTGAAAGCAAGACCCTCCTCCAGTGCAAAGATGATGACTTGCTTTATTGCGGCACCTGCTTTATTGCGAAACCTTCTTTACTGTGCTACCTGCTATATTACGGCACCCGCTATATTACGGCACCTGCTATATTACGGTACCGGCTATATTATGGTACCGGCTATATTACGGTACCTGCTTTATCACGGTACCTGCTATATTACGGTACCTGCTTTATCACGGTACCTGCTATATTACGGTACCTGCTTTATCGCGGCACCTGCTTTATCGTGGGGCTCTGGCATCGAACCCACAGCGTCTCCAGGTGGGCCGTAGGTGACTGCTGAGGAACTCAAACAGGAGTGAAGGTGCTGGGAGGCCGTCCGTGACGTGCACAGCCTTCACTAATGTTGGTGAGTGGAACACCTCATCTGAGCGAGCGTCTGTGGGCTGTTCCGGGCCCCCGCTGCGTGTCATCGGGCGGACAGGAGAAGAAACCGCTTGAGGGTGCAGCTTAGGGTTTGGAGACCCAGGGGCCCTGCTTTGTTCGAATGTGAGTGCCTCACTCACAGTTACTCTTTGTCTGTAAGAGTCTGACCCGCTGGAGAAGCAGGCGTCAGGGCCGCCTGCCGTGGAGTCTGGGGGTCACCGGCGGCCGCTGTCCTCTCTGGCAGTGGTGGTCTCGGGTCTGCGTCTGCTCCCCTCTCCCGCAGCTGGGCGCGCGCCGCTGTCAGCCTGCGGAGTGCAAGGCTCTGCTTTGCCTGGGCGCCTGCTTTGATCGAGTGCCCCCTCCTTGATCAGGGACCCCATACGCACCTGGGAGGTGGTGGGTGCAGCAGAGTCATCTGTGTGCTCTCTGATGGGGACGGAGAGGAAGTCACGCCCGCTGCCTGGCCGGCGCCGAGCGGGGAGGAATAACAGAGCTGGCAGGCTGCGCGGCACTGGAGTCGCATTATGTAAAGCAGCAGCGGCGGGGGTGCCCGCGCGGGCTCGCGCGTGTGTCTGAGTGTGTCTGTGCGCGTGCGTGCGGCAGCTGGAGAACAGCTGTCTGGGAGCCAGGGAGAGGGAGAGGGGGAGCAGGGGTGAGGGAGAGGGGCCGTGGGAGCTGCATGACCACTCGGAGGGGCTGCAGGGGGAGGCGGGAGAGCAAATAAAGGGGAGCCATGCTCACAATGCAGAGCCGTGGGAAACCCCCGAGAAAGGAGGCTCCCCCCGCCTGTGAGGGCCCTGCCCCCCGCCCCCGGTAGAGCAGGGCTGTGGGTGGTCATGGAGGTGAGAACCTCCCGCGTCCTCAGGGCCTGCTCCCCGCCCCACCCACCGCCCAATGCATGAATGAATGAGGCCTCTGCCTGCTCTCTGCTACCGTGCCCATGGCTTCCAGGTTAGTGCTGACTCGTGCTGCCGCTCGTGTGCATGTGTGCGTGTGTGTGTGTGTTTGCATGGACGTGTGTGTGTGTGTGTGTGTGTGTGTGTTGTGTGTGTGTCTTTGTTTCCTTGTGTTTGGAAGGGCTGGCCATGCCCAGGGAGGGAGCAGGGCCCGGGGCTGCAGGAGCTCCTGTCGTGCTGTGTGCTGTGTCCAGCCTGTGCCGCTGCTCAGAGCTGCCGAGGACACACGCCTTCTGGGGCGGAGTGGCCCGGAGCCCCTGTTCTTGCTTCTGTTCTGTGCGGGGATCTGAAGGCAGCGAGTGACGTGCTGCGGAGCGGCCGGCTCTTCTCCCTGTCTCCCCCTCCTCATCGTCACCGCAGCGCCACGGGAGGGAGCTTGGGCACTGAGGGTGGGCCGGGTCAGGAGGGGGAGTGGTTGGGGCCCGGGCCAGTGGGGTCGGCTTGCCCACAGGACTCACTCAGGACCCTCGGACTTGGCGGCGGCCTGAATGAGCAGTGCGCCACGGAGAGCTGGCCCGGCTCCTAGGGAGGTGCGGGCGGCCATGTGCGCCTGCTGCCCACCCAGCTCGGGGTGCCCCTGGTCGGGGAGACCAGGGCATGGCTAGCAAGAGGGGCAGCCTGGAGGGTTCTGAGGCAGGGGAGAGCCTGGGGGGTTCTGAAGCAGGGGAGAGCCTGGGGGTGCTAGCAGGAGAGCGGGAGCGGGCAGTTGATAGCTCCCCTCTCCAGGAAATAAAGGGTTGTTTATTCTTCGGCTTAGCGGGCATTTGGCTCCGAGGTTTGCCATGTGTTTTCAGAAAACAGATAGTCAGTGGCTGGGCCTTACTCCCCCAGGCCTCCTTGCATTGTTAGCTGTTGGCTTGATTTAGGCAAGTGGAGCGTGGGGAGGACTTGGAGCACCCTGTGTCCCTGGGCCAGCCCTCCCCCCACCCCAGCCAGGGCCAGGGAAAGGGGTCTTTGCCGCTTACCTTCTCTGACACTCCTTAGCAGACTATGCTGTTGTGAG